AACATATATATATATATATATATATATATATATATATATGTACATTTTCTTTCTAGAAGCAACATCAACGATCAACATGTCATGTATGATGCAGCTGCAAGCAAAAGCAATTTCGTGGCAATGGGCGAGCTTGGAATTTAAAGTAGCTTCACTTTCCATCGACTTCCAAGTCAACAAAAGATGGCTGGCTGACAGACCAACAGAGGCACTAAAATTGTGCTTATTTGACTGACTGATAGAGTCATGGAAATTGGAGTCCCATATTTGAAAATTGAAAATAAAAAGAAAAGACTTGATGAGTAAAATTTGATAAACAAACTTAGTAGTGAGCTAGCTACTCTAAATTCTAATTATAATATTGGTTTAATGAACTCACTCAGGTTATAACTTATATGATATATGCTGCATAAATAATGAACACCACATAGCCACATAGCCACATAGCCACATAGCACATATATACAGAAGAAAGAGATACTGTGCTCAACCTGCCTGCAGGCTGCAGCAACAAGTTAGTAGTAGTAGTAGTTAATGTTTTGCTCACATGCATCCCACCGCACACATGCCAGCCAGGGCTGCTCTGCTTTTGTTTGTCTGCAAATTGCATGCAGTTCCTTTTTTAAAATTTAAACAAACAAGTTTCCCAGAAACTTACTTCACGACTAGACCGCAACAAAACAAACCCCAACCAAACAATAATAATCATAAACTCCATTACCATTTGGGTTAAAATTAAATTAAATAGAATAATAATAGTAATAATAATGTTTTCCTTGACCATATAATTATTAATTATTATTAGGTAAGGTGGAGGATTTTTTTTTTTTTTGGGGTCAAAAAGGTAAGGTGGAGGATGGATGAGGTTGCCTTGCCCACCTATTTAATAGTTAATTGTCTTGGCAATGGTAGGCACTGGCAGACAGCATTTGTTTTTGTTTTATAGAAAAGGACTTGGTAGCCTGGATCTGGAATAAATTGAATAATCTCTCTCTACTCTCAAATAATGGGGATAAGGATGATATGGCATTTCATCCGATTCAAAAGGTTTGGTTTCTAAGAGTATCTCTAAGAGATATGTCAAATACCAAACATCAAATTTAAATTTGATGGCTGATGTGGTAATATAACATTTACACAGTTTTATACTACACCCGATATGTTAAATAAATAATTATTATAACAATCAAATCATTAAAGATAAATAAGGAAAAAAAAAATGAAAGTAATAGCCAACTATCTTTTAAAAATAATAAAATATTCATTTGACATCTTACTTTTGGGATGTCAAAAATAACATATCAACCTCTAGCCTTCATTCCACATCAGCTTTGACATATCGGTTGGAGTGATGTGAAATGTTATTTCTAACCGTTAAATGTCTATGTGACACTTTTGACACATCGATTGGAGATGCTCTAAGAGCATCTTCAAGGGAGATGTCAAATACTAAACATCAAATTTAAATTTGATAGTTGATGTGGCAATTTGACATATTACACAGCTTTACCCTCCACCCGATATGTCAAATTAAATTATTAAATTATTACATTTTAGTGTTGATTCATTTTTAATTAAAAAGAAAAGGAAAAAAAAAAAAAAAAATATTCATTTGACATCTTACTTTTGGGATGTCAAAAATAACATCTTAACCTTCAGCCTTCATTCCACATCAGCTTTGACATATCAGTTGGAGTGATGTGAGATGTTATTTTTAGTTGTTAAATGTCTATGTGGCACGTTTGACACATCGGTTATAGATGTTCTAAGAGTATCCACAATGGACTCCCCAAACCACCTCCTTAGACAAATTTTAGAGAGAAATCGTAAAAATGCAATTCCAATCAAGCTCTCTATCTACCTCATAAAATAGGGAGTCCTCTAGCAGCTCCTAAATCTGAGGAGAGAGAAATGACTCCTAGTGACTCCCTATAATTCAATGCCGCTTTATTTAATGTGTATTTCAAACCTTTATTTAATGCTAACTATTTTTTATTTTATTTTTTAATAAAGATAGACCAATCAAAAAAGAGTTATAATATTTATGACTCTTCAAATTAGGAAGTATGGTTGGAGTTGAAATTTTTTAGAGAGCTCCTAAAATAGCTTCTTATATTTTTAGCTAAAAAATAGAGGGTATTATTGTAGATGCTCTAAGGAGCCAAGCTTTTTTCTTTTCTTTTTCTTTGGTCTTATTTATTAGACTACGAACATGACATGTTGTATAAAACATATAATTTTATAAATTCTCACTTGTAAAGGTGTGAATAGTTCATTGCAATAGAAGCTAATCATAGGACCCACATACCAATAAACTGAAGCTATTGAACTATACCATTTTCAAGTAAAACTGCCGTTTAATTCAATAGATACTTGAACTATTGCATTAAAATTAAATTATTGAACAATCATTATGGATGCTCTAATAGTAATAAATCCACTGCCTGCAATGCGATGTGAGTGTCAGTTTGCCAATTTGCCAAACACAAAACAAAATTGTGACTGGTCAGGTTTGGTAGCTGCACCCTCGTCCCTCTACTATTTCTTTCCCTTGCATTTTGAAATTTTATCACTAAAAGCCGCTGGGTTGGGTGTACAAGTTACAAACTAGAAAGACAAGTTTCGGCTGTCACTAAATCCCAAGTTGCTATCTGACTAACAATCCAGTCCAATTTGTTTTTGGGCTTAAAACTCCAAGTCCAAACCAATTTCTGACCACGATGGAGCCATCCAACAATCAATGCATGTCGTATATATACAATACAGACAAAAACAAGAAACCCCCGAAACCAAACTAATTCTGCTCGAATATCATAAACCCTAGAAGTAGACAGCCCTTTTTGAACGAAATCTCATGGATCCGCAGCCAGAGCCAGTCTACTATATCTGTGGAGGTACTGATTTTGCGTTTGTTGTTGGAGAAAGTTGGCTGGCTAGGCTAGCAAATAGACACTAAATTAGTGTTTGTGTTGTTGTAGATTGTGGGATGGAGATTCCCTTGAAGCCAAACGATGTGATTCAATGCCGTGAATGCGGCTACCGTATCTTATACAAGAAGCGCACTCGTCGCAGTGAGTCCCTATCCTCATAGATTTCATTCATATTACCTACCTTACCACCATGTATGATGTATATCCTTTCCTTTTATTGCGATTTTTTAATCAACTTTTTCTTCTTCTTTTTTTGCTTTTTCAATGAAATTGATTCTGTCCTCCTCATTGAATGCTCGTTTTCTACTGGGTGAAATACATTAACTTGTATATGCTTGAATTGAATTGTTGCATATTCAATTCTTTACTTGCTATTGAAAAGTATATAAATTTGGGGATTGGGTTTTCTCAATGATCAAATTTCAGTCGTCCATTGTGGATTTCGGTGATTGGAATGTTATTGTGAGTTGAACTTTTAAAAGCCTGGTAAAAAACACTGTGTTCGTCTGGTTGCCGCCCTTTTAGTGTAAGATGTGGATATGCTTTAAATTTCATGCGTTCTTCATGTTTTGTAAATAGTAGCTGTTATCTTTCCAGTCATAATTAAAAACTTATTACACCATGGCAACAGACAATTACTTGTAAGTAAAGTGATAGGGTGTGTACAAGGTAGTTATGTTGATGCCAAATGGTTTTAGTTAGTTTTTGGGCTTCTGGCTTTGAGGATATGGTTTTATGTGCATAAAACAGATTGTGATTAGCCTACACCACGATGCACCAATGCTGTCTCAGTGGGATTGCTAGAGCAAAGTCAATGAAAGCATTGCACCCAATTATGCACCTTCAATTCAATTTGGTCCGGATTTCCTACTGATTATGGTCAGTGATTAGTCTAGCAGTATTGATGCATCTTGGTGTAGGCTAATCACAATCTGTTGTGCCAACAAAACAATACACACATATGTCTCTTGTTCCCTGCTTTATTTTTCTTCTTCCTAGAGAGTTAAACTGATTGATTAAAGGCAATTGTTTTGGTGTGCCATTTTGTTTATGTAAAGCATTAAGTTATATGCTAGACCTGTAGTAATGTGCTATATGTAGACTCATTTCTTTTCTTATCTGTCATATTGGGATCACCGTGTTATACTAACTACCAGCACAAGTATCACACATTTGCTACTACACAAGTTATATTAATATGCTCCTCTTTGGAAAGAACTTCATCCATCGATCCTGTAGTCCTATTTGAAACACAAACAAAAAAGGGATTTACACACGCACACACAAGTTGTATTGCTATAGTACACATATATATTTTTCCTATTGCATTGTAGTGTCCTTTTTGTAGCACTGTGGAATGCCTTTTGGCTAGCATTTTGATGGTGTTGTGAGTCCAATTTCCGGTCCAAGTGTTGCTCTTGTGTTTCTTTGCTGATTATGTTAATCACTCTTATCATATTCTCTATCACATTATTCAATGCTTGATTTATACGAGTCATGGTTGTTTTTGCAGTTGTTCAGTATGAGGCACGCTGAAGAAGAGACTTGGTGTGCTTGTGTCGGTCAATGATCCGTGTATTGAATCTGTTTGATGTCTTTGAACTTAAGTCTCAGTGAGATGTTTGTATAATATCTGTTCATTTTCGGCTACTTGTTAAAATTGTTTTGTGCTAAATCTTGCTCTTTACATGGTTGTATAATTATTGAGATTCACAAAATAATTGGCATTTTGGTCATACATGGGTTTGATAAATATATACAAGGGGCAATATGTGTCTGTCCCCGAACAGGATGTGAATGCTGAGTCTGAGCGGTTCTTCTTCCAGGCTCCAGCTAAAGCAAGCATTTAGCAGCATTAAGCCCATGGAGTTGTGAATAGATTATACATGGAGTCTTGAAAGTGACATGTTTTTATGTACAAATTTACAGAGAGAGTCATCTTTCTTTGTAATCTTGACTCGGCAGTGCTAATTCACGTGTTCACATCCTTTTCTTGGAAAATTCATCAAACAATACAGCAGAGTCTCGATATAACCCAAAATACAATATTATTGGTTCAAGAGTTGACGCATATTAATATAAAACCGGCGGAATATTCTTTTTTTGCATCTTCCAAGTTCCAGCTAAGAAGATATTATGTATCTTTGACAATGACAATCCACCCATCATTACCAATTCTATAATTGAGAGAGAGAGAGAGAGATCATCGGCAATTGAAGGAGCTGATTGATTCAATTTCAATAATATATTAGATGATCGATGGATCAGTTTTAGTTTGGTCCAAGCCAACATGAATTCATTCAAAGGGAGCTTCTATAATGAGGAGTTAAAGTGAGGAGGTTATTTGAGGAGACCGATTCGACCGTCAAAACATTTAAAATATTTAAGTCTCATGATTTCTTTACATTTGTTTATGGTGAGATTTAACCTCCTCAAATAATCTCCTCACTTTAAGCCCTCATTATAGCCTTTCCGTAATCCAAGTCCTTCAATTAGCAACATCTTAATTCACAATCATTTTATTTAAGGAGCTGATTTTCCATTCCGCTTTTGTTTGGTTTGGTTTGGCTCTCAATCCATGAAAGTTATTTTCTTATTTTTCGGTGGGATGGGATGGGATGAGATTTAACGTATTGGAAGTTTGAAACTTGTGAAAAGAACAGGATATATTATGATTACGCTGTAGATTCCAAGGTGTGTGAAAAGGGCTTTGGTGGGGATGCGTGGGCACTGGTGGACCAATGCAAATAGTGAAAAGTAACAGAGCGCAATTCAACTCAATTTCAATTAGAGAGAGAGAGAGAGAGAGAACTTACGACTTGCAAGTGACCGACAGTGGATAGGTTGTCTTGCAAATGACAGAGAGTGGATAGTGGTATCCCCGCGACACGTGGCCAGTGACATCCTTGTTTAGTTCGCGGAAATTTTTTGGTGGGAAATACTTTGCAATGTATTTTTTTAAGGAATGGAAAATGGAAAATTTATTTTCATGTTTGGTAATACTGAAAAAATAATCAGAAAATATCATTTTATTTTCTTTACAATGTTTGATTTATGTAAGAATGTAAAACAAAATTTGTTTAATTTTTTAATTATACCCACACATGAAATCAAATAAAAAAATAATGCATTTAAATATTCGTTTAATGCTGGCTCATTGTCCCGAAGTTTCTCATGGGAAGGGAAAATGAAACTCAAGGGGAGAGGAAGGTTACATTTTGCCCCACTATGTTTTTCATGTGCTAGACGATCATTTTCCATGACTGGACTTATCAAACTTAAAAAAAAAATTGATTTTTCATCCCCAAATCTCATTTCCCATGAACCAAATGCGGTCTTTCTCGATAGAGAGGCTGTCTTGGTTGAGAGCCATATACCATGGTATGGTATTTATTATGTACAATTTACAGTCTTACAGACAAATAGTATACAATTATTAGTAGAGGTTATTAGTATAATATAATAGTAATTATTAGAGATATACAACAAATTTAGTTGACTTGATGAGTCGGTGGTCACTCAGCCAGCCTCTCATGATCTCATCCAGTCATCAGCCAGCCTCCTCTCACTGTCCGTGTCTGTCTGTGTCTGTGTATCTCTCTGAGTCTTAGCCCAACCCAACCCAAGAAGAAAATCCAAATGATCAACTGTAAGCCTACCTTGTTTGTGGCATTGTATATGTCAACATTACTATTAAATCCATACATCATGCAATCGAAATGCAAGCAATGTGGAAAAGCTACCTTAAAACTCATCGTATATCTTATTAATTCTAAATTTCCAGCTCTCTCTCTCTCTCTCTCTCACTCCTTGGAAAAACCAAGGAACCAACCGTCACTCTTTATCAATTAGTAATTGCATAATTTGTATTCTAGTACGAAGTGTAGTGTGTATCTTCTTGTTAGAGTATCCACAATGGGCTCCTAAAATCACCTTCTTAGACAAATTTTAGGGAGGAATTGTAAAAATGCAACTCCAACCATACTCCCTATCCACCTCCTAAAATAGGGAGTCCTCTAGGAGCTCCTAAATCTGAGGAGAAAAAAAAGACTCCTAGTGGTTCCCTATAATTTAATGATGATTTATTTAATGAGTATTTCAAACTTTTATTTAATGCTAACTATTTTTTATTTTATTTTATAATAGAGATGGACCAATCAAAAAATAGTTATAGTATTTATGACTTTCCAAATTAGGGAGTATGGTTGGAGTTTAAATTTTTTAGAGAGCTTCTAAAATAGTTTTCTTATATTTTTAGCTAAATTTTAGCTAAGAAATAGAGAGTATCATTGTGGATGCTCTTATTATATATTCAAAGGCAAACTCAGTCATTCAATATAATTCGATATATTTGTTGCAAATAATAAATAAAGTCAAGAATGAATGGGCCTAGCCTAGAGAGAGAAAACAACAAATGCTTGATTTTGGTGTCAATAAAAAAGTTGGTTTCTTTCTTTCTCAGCAGCAGCAGCATTACTAGTACTCTTTTATATATAAAGGCTAAAGCACTGCATTACATGTGGCCCTTCCTCAAACTCAAATCAACAAGATTGATCAATACATTCACGAGTACCCATAAATACATTAGGCTATCATAAATAATATTAATCATGGGTACTCAGCAGCAACATCAACTTGAACAAGATGATCAGTTAGAGTACCAAAGGGATCATCATGCGTCAGAAGCAGGACTTGTGCAAGGATTGAGAAAAGATGATTTAGAGCTTGAGGCGCTGGATCCGAAGAAGAAGACCAAGTACGAGGAAGAGGAAGAGGAAGAGAAGGAGAATCTGGGGTTGGAGGAGGACTTGTCAGTGGAAAGGATATTTGAGAAGCAAACGGTGCCGTCATGGAAGGAGCAGCTGACTGTGAGAGCGTTTTTCATAAGCCTTGTGCTGAGCGTGCTCTTCAGTGTGATAGTGATGAAGCTCAACCTCACCACCGGTATTATTCCTTCTCTCAACGTCTCTGCTGGACTCTTGGGCTTTTTCTTTGTCAGGACTTGGACCAAGTTCCTCGACAGGTGTGGCCTCCTCAAACAGCCCTTCACCAGGCAAGAGAACACTGTTATCCAGACCTGCGTCGTTGCTTCCTCCGGCATCGCCTTTAGCGGTATCTATCTATCTATCTATTATCTATCTATCTATCATCTCTAGACTCTATCTCTTCTGATTTATTTATTTATTTTTTATCTATCAGTCTATCTACTACCTTCATTATATTCATTCATTCATTCATTATGCTTTGCTAATTAATAAGCTGCCATCTGCCATCCATGAAGATGAAGATGAAGATGAGATCCAGCTGGCTTCATTCATTTTGATTTTGTTGACGTCGATAATTATTAGTTTCTTTCTGTCATGCTGGCTTAGCTTGGTAAAATGACAACATCTGCTTTTTTTTTAATTTTTTTAATTTTTTAATTTTATGAAACAAGGAAATTATTAAAACCAACCAACCATGTTTTTCGCATATACTTCATCTCTGGAGTATGAAAATTAGTTTTTGGTTGTTAAATTTAAATAGAATTTTGCTGCGCTTAGGCCGGCATGATTTTTCATTATTAGTATTTGATGTAATTAAATAAATAGTGAGAGTCGTTATGCTGCGGATTGTGTATAGTCAGAGTTTGGTATTACATGTTGCTGATAGGCCTCCTGTCCTGACTCCTGAGGGTGTTTAGAGACTTTGCTTACTTAGAGCAATTCCACCCATTTACCATGACAAAGGACAAAGGGAGGCAAGGGTCATGACTGTGTTCATGTGAATAGTGACTACCTTAGTAATTTTTTTGATGCATTCTCATCCATTGCTAGGTATTTATAGACTTTTTTTTTTTCTGAAATTTCTGGTGGTTTTTTTTTTATTATAATTTTTTATAAAATATTTAAATTGACTATTGACATCAGCATGAGGTCAGTTTGCCCAAGTTGGTGGAGCCTAGCGCTTGCCCTGGCAAACTTTGGCCACTAGAAACAAAATTAGGGGCCTAGGGTGTCTCTTGTCTGGGTTGGCCCCTCCAACTGGAAATGCTCTTACTAGGTCGAGGAAAAAAGAAAAAAGAAAAAGAAAAAGAAAAAAGAGATTGAGTTTAGGCAAGTGGTCTGGTGGTGGTCCCAATATTATATGAAGATAAATAGTGAGTGGAAAGATGATTGAATTGAAATTGATGGTGTATTGTATCATCTATCATCTATCATGATTCATGTATGTATGATATAATGATATGCCAAGCTTATATATTTATTTATTCAAGTACGTAATGTGTAAAGTAAATGTACAAACTGACAGGAGGGTTTGGGAGCTATCTGTTTGGCATGAGTGCCCGCATTGCCCAGCAATCCGCAGACAGAAGTACTAGGGATATCAAAGAACCAGGCTTGCTTTGGTTCATTGGCTTTCTCTTTGTTGTCAGCTTTCTCGGCCTCTTCTCTGTCGTCCCTCTTCGAAAGGTACTTAATAAACTTGTAAGAACTTTAATGAATCAACTCTTTCAACACTCACTCACTAGTCAAGATAACACGAGATTGGTTCCAGATCATGATCATAGACTTCAAATTGACATATCCAAGTGGCACTGCAACTGCTCATCTTATCAACAGTTTCCACACTCCTCAAGGAGCCAAGCTAGCCAAGTAACTCCTCCTTCAAAATTAATCATTTCAAAATTATTTTTTATTTATTTTATGGTTCTAATCTAAACTCCTTTTTTTTCTTTGGATTATTATTATTCAATTAGGAAACAAGTAAAGGAGTTGGGAAAGTTCTTCTCCTTCAGTTTCTTGTGGGGTTTCTTTCAGTGGTTCTATACTGCTGGAAGTGATTGTGGATTTGCAAGCTTCCCTACGCTCGGCCTCAAAGCATATCAGAACCAGTACTACTTATACATTATTCTTATTTGAATCTGTCCAATTATATATATATATATATATATATGTAATGTACTTATACATTATTTCTATTTGCAGGTTCTTCTTTGATTTCTCGGCCACATATGTTGGAGTAGGGATGATTTGCCCCTACATTGTGAACATATCTGTTCTTCTTGGAGGTATTCTGTCTTGGGGTTTAATGTGGCCTCTCATAGAAAACAGGAGTGGCGATTGGTACAGCAAAGAACTCAGCCCAAAAAGCATGAATGGCCTTCAAGGTTACAAGGTGTGTGATCTCTGTTTTCTTTTCTACTACAACTTTTGTTTTGAACAAGTTATACTTGTTATCTTCAAACTTACCTACCCCTGTACTGTGTTTAATCAATTCATTAGGTCTTCATTGCCATTGCCATGATCCTCGGTGATGGGCTATACAACTTCTTGAAGGTGCTAAGTCGAACCCTCATCGCCTTGCAATCCCAACTCCGAGCCAAAGATGTGAACAACATTCTCCCGATTGAAGATCAGGTCTCTCCAGCTGTGACCTCTGCTCTCTCATATGATGACCAGCGCCGCACCCAACTCTTTCTCAAAGACCAAATTCCAGCATGGTTTGCTGTTGGAGGCTATGTTGCCATTGCTGCAGTCTCAATTGCCACTGTCCCCCACATATTTCCCCAACTCAAATGGTACTATATATTGGTCATCTACCTCTTTGCGCCCGCCTTGGCTTTCTGTAATGCATATGGCTGTGGCCTCACTGATTGGTCTCTGGCCTCCACTTACGGAAAGGTGGCCATCTTCATGATCGGGGCATGGGCCGGCTCTGCACATGGTGGTGTTCTTGCTGGACTCGCAGCATGTGGAGTTATGATGAACATTGTCTCAACAGCCTCTGATCTAACCCAAGATTTCAAGACCGGCTATCTAACCTTGGCTTCCCCCCGCTCAATGTTTGTGAGCCAAGTCATCGGTACAGCAATGGGTTGTGTAATTTCTCCCTGTGTGTTTTGGCTCTTCTACAAAGCCTTCACTGACCTCGGCACACCAAAAAGTGCCTATCCTGCTCCCTTTGCTGTTGTGTATCGTAACATGGCTATTCTCGGGGTGGAAGGCTTCAAATCTCTCCCCAAGCACTGCCTCTTACTTTGCGCCGTCTTCTTTGGTGCGGCCATTCTCACAAACGTGATCAAGGATTGCATTGGTAAGAAGAGGGCACGCTTCGTTCCACTACCAATGGCAATGGCAATACCTTTCTATTTGGGATCGTATTTTGCCATTGACATGTGCATTGGGAGCTTGATAGTGTTTCTGTGGGAAAGGGTGAACAAGGCCAAGGCAGATGCTTTTGTGCCTGCAGTAGCTTCTGGTTTGATATGTGGGGATGGGGTTTGGACTTTGCCTGCTTCAATACTTGCTCTTGCCGGGGTTAAGCCACCAATTTGCATGAGGTTTTTGTCAAGGGCAGAAAACGATAGAGTTACTACATTCTTAACTGGTAAAGCCAAAGGCTGATCAGCATGATTGATAGCCTAGGTATATGAATATGTGCAAAGTCTTGGAATTGGAAGGTTGCATATCTCTGTAAAATATCAAATGCTGCTTTGGAGCAGACAAAGGCGCTGCCAAATAGCCGTACCAAACTATGTGATTACATAAAATTACATTAAGTGTTTCGCTTGCTTAAATTGATAATTAATCTCTCGTAGTCGACTTAGTTTACATAGCGCCATTCATTTTCAGGACAATATCCCCTCAGTGTATCATTCACGATTCTATTCCATTTCAATCTTGATTTCATTTCTTCCAAATAAGCAATTAAAATCTCCCCTCAGTGTATCTAATACAACTTAATCACGGTTGATGAACATGTATATATAGTGCGATCGATCCCATCTGAGTGTTGGTGTGACCAGGCTCATCAAGTGTTAAAGTTTGAAGAGCGATCAACTAACATTATGGATGATCAGAATCAGAAGGTCTTAAAACATTCCATTGCCTAACTATGATGCCGAATATCGCGCGGAGGAAGTATACTGTATATGTATGATTTTTGACCGGAGGAGGTGCGCCCATTTGATTTTTGACGGACTATAGTGAATAGGAACAAAGGCTCTTCAAACGCAAGGAAAGACAATAAACAATCGAAAATGGTAAAAACAAAATTGGAAGTGCCACCCGAAAAAAATTTGGTCCTCTTTAGATTTGAAGTGCGTAAAATGGAAGTAACGACTTCTGGGAATAACAAATGATCTAATACCATATAATTTCAGGGGTTCGCTTCTCTATATATTTATATATAAGCATCTCCACACTCTAAACCATATGGCAAAGAAAGGCTAAACTCTTATCATCATCATCACTAGCCAAAGAAACCGAGAAAGAAAAAACCTCCTTTCAGCGAGTTAATTTTATTTATATTTTGCAAAACCTCCTTACAAGGTAATTAAATATTATCATTGGGAGGTTGTTCAAGCCATGGAAGGCAGGAAGACCAAGGGCAGGCAAAAGATTGAAATGAAGAGGATTGAAAACCAAGATGATCGCCTTGTTACTTTCTCGAAAAGGCGATCTGGCGTGAATAAGAAGGCAAGTGAGTTAGCAACCCTATGCGGCGCTGAGGTTGGTGTGGTGGTATTTTCTCCCTCCGGAAAGCCATTTTCCTACGCTAACTCCTCCATTGACTCAATAGCCAACCGATTTCTAAATGGCCACGCCACCATCATCAGCACCATGATTATGATCAAAATCATGATAATATTGATGATGATATAATGAATCTTGATGCTGTTGATCGGAGCCGCCATACTATTGTGGAGGCCTACAGGCAGGTAAGAATCGATGAGATGAATAAGAAACACAACGAGTTGGTGAGCGAGCTAGAAGTTGAGAGGGAGCGAGGGAAAGCGCTTCAACAGAGGATGAAAGCAAAAGCAAAAGAAATATCATCATCAATAGAAGCAGCTGGAAGCAGCAGCAGCAGCAGCAGCAGCAAGAGCCGGTTACAGGACTGGTGGGAGGCTCCTTTTGAGGAGCTCGACTTGAAAGGACTCAAACAATTGCATGCTTCCTTTCAACACCTCCGCAATGATCTCCACCCTGCTCTCACCTGCCTCAACAACCTCAATCCTCACTAGCTGCTTCATGCACCTGCTAAGTGCTAACTCATGTGCATGTCAACTAGTGAAGGATTTCATACTTCTAATTACATGATGTGTCCTAGCTTTAATAATATTACATCTTTAATTATACATGTCGCCATCAACTTTGAAATAATATGCATCTACAGGATCAGTTGTGTGTTTTCCTCATTGAATCCATTCTCATTATACAAATTTCTCTCCTTTAATTAATTTGTTGGTCGTCAATAGAAAACGATAAAGCCGAAATGACCGACCACAAAGCTCAAGGCTCACAAGACTATCGGCAAGATAATAATTTAACTCAACTGGGCTTTCTATGCCCACAAGAATCTTCCAACTAAGAAGATCTTATGTATCGACAAGCATCGGCAAGACAATTTTCGCATTTCGTGATTTCATAAATGAATTTTCTCATTTTAACGTTTCGTTAATGAATTGTAGCATTTTGGGGTTTCATCAATGAATATTCGGATTTTAGGGTATCACAAATGAATTCTATTTTAGGGTTTCGCTAATGAATTTTTTGGAAATAATTTTTTACATAATAAATTGTCGCATTTTAGGGTTTCGTTAATGAATTTTTGCATTTTGGGGGTCTCATTAATGAATTTTGCATTTCGGAGTTTCACAAATAAATTTTCGCATTTTGGGGGTTCACTAATAAGTTGTCGCATCTTGGGGTTTCGTTAATGAAATTTCAAATTTGGGGGCTTTGCAAATGGATTTTGCATTTTGGATACCGAAATGATATGTCTTATTTTGGGGTTTCATGAATGAATATTTGCATTTAGGGTTTCATGAATGTCTTTTCACATTAGGGGTTCGCTAATAAATTGTCGTATTTTGAGGTTTCACAAATAAATTTTCACAAGTTAGGGTTTAAAAAATGAAGGGTTTAACTGTCGCATTTTGCGGTTTCGTTATTGAACTTTCAATTATGAATTAATTTTCACATTTTAGGGTTTCAAAAATGAATTTTCGCAACTTGGGGTTTCACAAATGAATTGTCGCATTTTTGGGTTTCGCTAATAAATTGTCGCATTTGCATGTGTTTCTTTACCCTATGTTTGGATGAAGGAAAATAACTCGGAATAGCTAAAAGTCGGGAATTTAAGAGGAGAAATTGACAATTCCCATGTTTGGCAACTTAAGCGCGGAATTTATTAAATGACACACGGAAAAAATCATAGAAATTGAGGCATCAAATTCCCGAGTTTAATTTCCACCAAAATAGACGTCATTTCACAATTTCCATAGTGTGGGAATTCATATTTTCCAGTGTGCCCAAAAAAAAAAAAAAAACAGTACCAAAAACCTATGAAACCCTGGACAACAGATTGCCTTGTCGCTTTACAAACAAAAGTTGCGAGCCAGATAAGTAAGGAGCTACCGGTAAAAAGTTGCGAACCAGAGAAGTAAGGAGAAGGAGTTCTTCTTGGGTTACACATCTCTCTGGATCAAGTTTGAAGGTTAGTCTTCAAGCCTTTCTCTCCTTCAATTTATATTTTTTTAGTTTAGGGTTACCATGGTTTCTAAATGGCTATCAAAATTGGGTATTTCTGACTAAATTTATGAATGTGTTTACTGGGTTTTGTGATCTTTGTGGCACTATGGCTGGGTTTTGGGAAATCTTAACAAAATACTCTATGCCCATGGATATTGGTGTGTGATTTGTGTTTATGGTACAACTCTGTAGTTGTTTGTTAGCTTTATCACTTTGTGTTATTGCCTTGCTTTGTAGTTGTTTGTTAGATTTATCACTTTGTGTTATTCACCCATATCCTGCATCAGTCGTAGATGCATCAGATTAGTACACAACCAGCAGAGCAAAAATATAACCAATATATACCTCATAGGATAACTTCAACTGTTGGCATAAGTCCTTGATTTCTACTCCCGGAGCCAGTTCCATATAGATAGTTGATTGCATACCACAGCTCTAAAAGACAAAAGTAAAATAATGCTTAGTCTGTTAGCAAAAATTCAATTGTAAAATATGGAATCTCTAATTGCATATGAGAGTAATAGGATTGCAACCAGTAAATTCCAGAATTATGTCATCTAAGAGAGACCACTCAGTCCAGTCAATGATGGAACACATTTAACCCCCACTTATCTATTCCATTCAGAGGACACCAGTAAAAAGGGAATACTAATTCCTAACCTTCATGTTCCTCAACATTATAAAACTTACAAGCATCTGAATTTGAAAGGTGTAGCAAAGAAGCATCTAAAAAATAATGGCAAAACTACTTGTCAGCAATAGAGCCTTTCGTTTCCTTGCTATGTAGTTGTTTATTAAGTTTATCGATTTTTGTCTTCTCTACTTTTTATATCGTTCCCTTGCTCTGTAGTTGTTTAATTCACACATATAAACAGGTATGGCTACTGTTAATGTTGATAACATGTTAACGAGGTTAAGACAGAAGCGTGCTATAGTGAAGAGAAGAAAATTATTGTCTGTACAATGATCTCTTTTATGGTTGCGCTAATACAATGGTATTATGATAATTTTCATGTTAAAGAGCCTTCACATGATTGGGATGAAGAAATGCGATCTTATTTGAACCGTATGTACAATGGAAAAGAAGTTGATTGTATTGATCAATTTCGAATTAGCACAAGTGCATTAAAAAAGTTATGAATTTTCGCACTGTCGCATTTGCATGTTTCGTTAATGAATTTTCGCACTGTCGCATTTGCATGTTTCGCTAGTGAATTAGCACATTATGGGGTTTCATTATTGAGTTTTCACATTTTTTGGTATGAATTTTTGCACTTTAGGGTTTCTCTAATAAGTGGTCACATTTTGGAGTTTCACTAATGAATTTTTGTTTTTTTTAATAAATTTACCCAATTTTTTTTTTTTGTTTCATTAGTGGATTGTCGCAGTTTAGGGTTTCGTTAATGAATTTTCGCATTTTTGGTTTCGCTGGGGTTATGTCAATGAATGTCGCATTTTAGAATTTCATTAATGAGTTTTTACATTTTTGGGTTTCGCAAATGAGTTTTCACATTATTTGTTTACGGATGAATTTTCCTATTTTAGGGTTTCGATATTGAATTATCAAATTTCGAAGTTTCATAAATGAATGTTCATATTTTGATGTGTCGCTAATGAATTTTCGCATTTTAGGGTTTCATTAATGACTTGTCTCACTTCGGAGTTTCGTTAATGAATTTTCACATGTTGGGTTTCGCAAATAAGTTTTTGTATTTTTTTAGTTTTGTTAATGAATTGTTGCATTTTGGGGTTTCGCTAAAACCCAAAAGGCAAAAATTAATTTTTGAAACTCCAAAATGCGAAAATTTGTTCACGAAACCCCCAAAATGAGACAATTCATTCATGAAACCCCAAAATGCAATTATTTATTTGTGAAACTCTGGAATGCGAAAATTTATTTGTGAAACCCCGAAGTGCGAAAATTCATTAGTAAAACCCCAAATGAGAAAATTCATTAGTGAAACCAGAAACGATCAGTACCCATTCGCAAAAACTCAAAAACCAACAAAAACAAAGATAATTATCTAAGAAATATACTCAGAAACTAATTGAATCGCATCCAGATTTCAAGTCTCAAGGGCTTTGTAGTATCCCGACTCAAGAGTCAACACCATGGCTATACCTTGTCCACATTAAAATTTAAGATGTCAAATGCTTTATTTATTAGTTTCGGATAAAATCAGATATAAAGACGAAAGAGGAACAAGAGGGCGGATGTGTCATCTTAAAACATTTATGAAAACAATCTATGCCTGCTAATAATAAGAAAGTGATGATTACAGCGTGTGGCAGGCAGGCAGGCAGGCAGGCAGGCAGGCAATGTGTCAATTTTTGAGGAGCTCTTCTTATAACACCAGATGAGCGAGCGAGCAAGCTCTTCAACACTCTCATCATAATCATCATCATCATCATCCCTTGGGCCTTGCACAGGGGAGTAATATCACATCACTTTGCTTGACACCGGTGCATCTCTAATTCTCTATACACCCTGTGTCGTTACCATCTCAAGCAGCCCAATCCTCATCACTAAGATCAGTGTCCTGCACAACGCAAAAGCTCAAAAACTCAGCCTTTTCCAGACAAATGTTGTGCCATCACCACCAATGGCTACCAAGAGCAACAATTAAGGTTTAATTCCAGTAAAAATAACAAAAGTAATGGAAATGGTATTTTGCTAGAGCACCGCATGCATTAAGAATATGATTGTTGCATTTCATGCATGGGAGGATCATACGTACGTTACTCTAGCAAATATCAATCACAGTTTCAACTAGGAAATAACATTTTGAAACAAATCATTATCATCTGGCTTTACATGCCAATTTCAAGTGATCAGCACTGAATTACCAATCAACTCTGTGCCATCTTCAAGGACTTACAAATTATATATATCCATCTCCAAAACAGTAGAAGAGAGATTTAAATAAACTAGAGATTACCTGTGAGCTACTTGATAATTCTTCAATATCATCCTCTTCAACCTACATGTTTATGTGCAATTTGAATTACCATTTAAGAGGTCGTGCTTGAAAGTAAAACTCAAGCTGCAATATAAATCACCTCCAAATTTGCATTAATACAAAAAGATTCATGCTAGTGAACAATTGAAAGATTTCACAATTGGGTGTTGCGAGAATTTCCTGTTGAGGAAAAATCATTTATGAAGTCGCAACAACCTAATTTATGGCCAATAGAATATATTTCATCCGTATGAAGCATATTTCTATGTGAGATAATGCTCTAAAAGACTTCTTTCTTGGTGGTTTGTTAGTTTTCATTCAAGGAAAACTAACCACCTGATCATATTCAAACAAGAGTGGGGCCAGAAATTCACTCTAATAACCTCTTCTTTCCACCTCCATCCTCCAAATCTAAGGGAATCACAAGAATCAACAATCTTATTTTTACATTGAGAAATACATTTTGATTAGAGTAGAGCTTCTTTTGGAGGATAAATTAGAGCAGTGCTTTGATAACAATCACAAAATATAAGTTCTAATGAAATTAAAAAAAAAAAATTTAAGGGAAGAAAAAAACAGGGAAACTGAAAACCCAATGACCATGTTACAAAGAAAAACACATATTATGCCAGACACAAACATACCTCATCTTGTTTTTTCTTTGCCAAGCTTTTGCCTCCTACACAAACACAGAGGTCAATTATAAGCTAACTTGCCCACATGTAGATGCATACTTAAGAGGAACTGTTATGAAGAACTTTCAGAATAAACAAATAATACAAGCAGGAAAAAGTAACTATCCAGAAGAAGTATGATAATAAAAAGGTAATCAATCCCATAACATTTGAATAGTATTTTGTTAAGAGAGAGAGAGAGAGAGAGAGAGAGAGACCTGAATCCTTTTCCTCGATAGTTTTTGCCTTTTCCTTAGGTCGTCCATCCTGCAAGGGCAAAAAACTACCTCAGCTGGGGTAACACTCCGATGCAAAGCAGCCATGGCTAAGAAAAAGAAAAATTAGCCAGAATTGTTGTTTGAAAGGGCAGGGAGAAGTGGAAAGGACCATTAAGAACTGACAGTAACCTGATTAACCTTCTTCTTTGAATCAGTTTGGCGCGACTTCTGGCCAGAAACTGGAAAACATCAACAGTTTTCACTGTTCTGAGTATTCAGATACCAATATATTCATAATAAGAAAACTAGTTGGGAAAATAGCAACCTTTTGGGGATGCAGGTTTCTTTGGATTTTTTGGTGTTTCATGAACCTTTGAAGAAGGAAGCTGTACTTGACTTTGCATAATGGAGTCCACTTTCTGTATAAAATTCAGAAATTTCAGAGCATGATAAGCATTAAGCAGGAGTTGAAGGCAAAATGGCAATGCATGGTGCGCTATTTTATTTTCATATGCCCAAGAAACTCAGAGATCCCAACCTGACCAGGTTTTGGTTTTCAGTTTCAGGCTTCTTAATAGTCCTGAAACATACCATAGCTACACAACAAAAAGTTCCCACGAGTAATAAAACTAACAATAAAAACCATAAAAGTTTACCTTTTTCTCCACTTTCTTAAACAATGTAGATATAGTAGCCTGAATAAGCGAACTGTGATTTCTATGAGAGTCCTCCACAGATGTAGTCACTGCAAAGGTAGAATGCGATTGTTTCTTTGATTTAGCTTCTGACACAGAGGACTCCTGATTTTGTTTGGGAATTTGAGCTCGTTTCACAGAATCCTCATTATCAATGTCAACGTCTCCAAAGCTGAGATTTTCAGTCTGTATCTACTAGTTAAAGGAATCAATCAAGGTATAGCTAACTGAGATGGAAGGTTGATGTAATGAATGTATGGTAAACCCAAGTTCAATTTACAAATTAGCTGGTGGGTACATACAAAAGTAAAATTTTAATGTCGGAATTCACCAAATTAAGACAAACTTAATATAAGGATATTCCCACTAGCATGCTTCCCGGATGGTGAATCAAGTCCCCCAATTTTTTCATCTTCTCCTTCACTTAAGTAAGTATCACTTTCAAAAGAATCATCTCCAGAAGAAGCACTTCCAAAACTGTACCAACAAAAATGTCAGAGATAAATGGAAAGGTAAGCATGATACAACATCTACAATTAATTGGTGACAAAAGAAGAGTTCACTGAAGCATGTGTGGACACATCACAGGAAAATGTGTGCCTTCTGGATGATCAACAAGCACTCTCGTTTCTTTTATTATTCTCCAGTAAAAAGAAAATATATCAAAATGGTTAATTATCTATGATAATCTAACTAAAGGTTCCACAACAATCATGGAGATAATCAACTAATAATTTACATCTTTAATATCCATAGAGGCTACATGACATTTCCACATAACAACTCATCTGCTGAAAAGCAATGAGTGCATTCAGGCCTTCAATAAGTGACGTCAGAATGGACAATGGGCATCAGTGCCCTTTGTAACTATTTGCAATATGTTTCATCTATTTTTTTTTTCCCTTTTTCTTTTGGATGATCAGAACTACTTACTCATAGGTATATCAGATAGGTCTGAAAAGGCAAATATGGTAATGCAGTACAAATGAAAAAATATATATTTTGTTTCCAATATTATCACTCAGAGATGGCCTCAGCACCTATAAGGTACATTGTGTGGGTGTGTGTGTTTGAATGTTACTGTACAAATATGTGTACGTATATATGTATCTACTTTGCATAATTAGTATGTGTGTACTTAATTCCCCCAGCTTCTGATCTCTTATGACAGTATCTAGTGAGTGCAATAAAATGTTTAGGCCAGTACTTGAATCGTTTTCCGGCAGTTCTTGCTGAATGCCGAACAGGTGTTGCTCTCATCAAATCCTTGTTTCCATCATCTGATACATTATCTTCAACCTTAACATTTGGGGAATGTTCTACATATGTAGTTTCATTTTTATGATCGCTTTGCTTGTTTGCAGATGTTGAACCTGCACCACCTTTAAAGTCATATTCTGCATGTTGTCCCTGAAACCAACAAATTCCTGAGAGTGGATCATCAAAAAGTGATATGTACATTTTATCAACACGACGGACTTATATGAACAGAAACTAACCTCAGTAAGTTCCTTAGGGAAATCAAGTTGGGCTTCTTTGGGGTTCTCAGCTTGTGTCCCAATCCACCAAGCATCGGAAAATACAATCTGGGACATGAAAAGCTAAGGCTGAGATATATATGTGTAAAAAATGCTTTGAGAAACTCAGTTTCATATAACAAGCAGATGGCCATAGACAAAAAAAACAAAAGATGTGGATTTTTTGGAAAGGGACTGCAAAATGGCGTTACCACACTCTGTAAGAAGAACAAGAAGAAGATTCTTGGTGGAAGTTGTATGAAACAATAGCTCTGAAACATTATGTACACAAAGTATAAAAGCACACAAAGAGAGAAGTTGCAAGCATAGGGTAATTAGTATGAATACAATGAAGACATGCTATTTCAATCAACCCAAAAGATACAAGAATAAAATTTATGTAGTTCTTTTGCCTTATGAGATGCAACTTTCAGAGTACAAGTTTCCACGAAATATCAGCTTTGCAGTTCTTTTGCATCATTCCCAACCAACTAATACTTAGTTCTATGAGTCTTAACTGAATCAATTACCAGTTAAAAACAAGTAGCAGTTCTAACTTATTCAGACATGCAATTATTGACTTCTAATAACCCTCAAAAGAAAGTCATAATTCAAATGATATGATAAAAGGTCAACTTGTCTTCAAATTTATATCATAATTTACAGTTCTGCACTGATCATCAACCAAGCCTATGAACAAAATGGTAGATATGCATCTTTCTACGACCCCAAATATATTTGAAATAGAAACTTAACAATCAATGCGGCAAACAGACTGTAGAAAGTAGCTGACCATATTATCGAAGTAGTCCTCGCACATGACACTCTTCCCACCCCTAGGGAACTGCATAGTCAGATACCTGTTCTTAGGGAACACAATAGTCCCAAACAACTTCATCCGACCCTGAAAACCCCAAAATTAAAATTTTAAAATTTTTCTCAGAAACCAAACAAGCAAAATAAAATTAGAAAAGGATGAAGGATGAAAGTAGTAGACCTGAGGGAAATCGAGGTATAACACGGGGTTCTTGGTGCCCAAATCCTTGAGCTCACCGATCTTACCGCCTCCAATGGGGGCAAGGAGGCCAGGGAAGGAGAAGAGGAACCTGTTCTTTCGCTGAGATTTCTTGAGAATGTCTTTGCCATGGTGCTTAACAACAGTGTTTGAGGGGGTGAGAGGCGCGTGGGGCTTAGCAGGGACCTCTGAGAGTAGGTTGTTGGAGAAGGCGAGGGCTTTGAGCCTCTTGCGCTGCGTCACCTCTGGGTTTGGATCCTCTTCGTCTTTGCGCTTCTTCTTCGATGACGAGGTTCGCGCCATTTTGATTCCTCCGGACTTTTCTCTTTTTCTCTCTGTCTGTTCCTCCGACTATTATTTGATATTGATTTGTAGGGTTTTTGTTGACTTCAGAAGGAAGGCGGGAAGAAAAGAAAAACCCCAACTTTATTCTTATTACCTTTTTATTTTATTTGATAACTTAACGTTTAACGGTAGCAATCATTTGATAATATAAATTTTAACGGTAGGGAGGGAAGGAATCATTTGACAAATCAACGAAAAAACAGAAGCCTAGTGTGTATCCACCAACCCCTCACCCCCAACCTTTTTTTTGGGTCTCTAATCAGATTGTTACAAAATTTATGTTGGCTCCGTATTCAGCTTTAAACTCACAAGTGAAAAACGTGCATAATCTGTCAACCATGCCCTTAGCTTTTTTATTGCAAGAGCTTATATTTGTATTCTGGACACCGTTCAAAATCACTTCATGTATGAAAAACAATCTCATAAACAAATTAATGGATCCCCAAACACCACCCAATGTGGCAAACGGCAGAGAAAACTCTGAGCACTCAAATGCTCTACCACAGTTATAAGCAGTGAAGAATTGGAGATAATCATGTTGTTTTGGGCATCTTGCCATAAAACATTGTAGGCAGGTGACTGCAAATGAACTGCTATTGTCCAAGCTAATTCACAAGGCCCCTCTGTTTGAAGACGTCAAGCATCGCAACCCCTATTTTTGCTGGAGACTCCACCACTGTCACCCCAGCTTCCCTAAGGGTCTTGATTTTGTCTTGTGCTGTACCCTTCCCCCCTGACACAATAGCTGCACAAGCAGATGCCACCAATCACGTGTGATTATCATGTTATGAGAATGATATGAAACCACACTCAACCATAGACAATGAGAGAGAGAGAGAGAGAGAGTAATGAATCATATACCTCCAGCATGACCCATACGACGGCCAGGAGGAGCAGTTAGTCCAGCAATAAAAGCAACAATAGGCTTCTCAGTTCCACTTTCCTGTTTGATTGGTCAGATAATCAGTCGCCACCCATATACAGGCAACAGATAAAGATGGTAGCAGTGAAGCTAACTGTGAGAATTTACGATGCTGAGAGTCTCGTGTGTGTGTGTGTGTGTGTGTGTGTGTGTGTGTGTGTGTTTGGGGGGGGGTGGGGTTATGTGGGGGCTTTGGGAGTCTTTCCTTAAATGGAAAGGGAAGAGGCCCAAAATGTTCATCTAAAATTAAATATGTGGATCAATTGATTCTTCAAAAGTAAGGATCAACAAAAAGATAATTCTCTCTCGTTATCCCCCTAGCAAAACTCAATTCTTGACTCGTAGAGCATATTTACGAGTACTATGTTATAAATAGAAATGCTAAAAGGGTTTATCAAACTTTCTACTCTGCTCAGAGGGTGGGGCTGAAAGTGGGATTGTTACCTTTATCAATGCAGCAGCATCCTCTTCTGCAGTCCCACCTATCTCTCCAATAAGAATGATACCTGAAACACATACATCCTAGAATTACGTTCAAATCACATGTCCCCTACTTCAACACATTTTATTTTTCTGTACATCTTACCCAAATCATCCGCACAAATTAAAGGGTAAGAAACCTTACATCAAGTTAAAAGGGGCACGTTAAAAAAAATTCATCACACAAGAGTTATTTAATTTGTTTTTCTTATATCCACATAATTCTTTTCCAATCAATGAAGTTTAGCTTGCATACAATACTATATCAATAAAATGTGCTCAATGGAATTTTTAAGCAATAAAAAACAGTCAGGCGAGCATCCACAATTAGAAAAGACAAAAGTCCTAAAGGTTGAACTTGAATGGTAAGTATTCAAGAACTCACGCAGAGGCACACCACACAAATCTGAATCACAAAAGATCAAGCCTAGGTTCATTACTTTAAAAATGGGCAACCACCAACATTATAGTTGATGGATATAAATATTTCAAGCAAATGGCAGAGAGAGAGAGAGAGAGAGAGAGAGAGAGAGAGAGAGAGAGTTCTATACATTTGCTCTTAAGGCCCAGAGTATCCTGATATTTTATATGATACACAACATTCTTCATAAATGAGCACTAGTAATAGCTTTCATGAAGCACAGTCACGCATTAAAACACGAACAGATCTGGTGAGTAAAAGGCAAACCATGGACCTATACATGCAACCAGAAACAAATAGAGTGCATAGATATATCTCCAGAGCAAATTCATAGAAGCAAGCTCCGCCTGAGGATCATGCCACCAAAAAATACGAACTACTAACCTTCTGTCTGAGGATCTTCTAGGAATCTGTCAATGCAATCAACAAAGTTTGTACCGTTAAAAGGATCACCTCCAATACCAACACAGGTGGACTGTCCAAGGCCAACAGCAGTTGTTTGGAAAACCTGCAAGGTAAAGGGACAAAATTAGTTAGAAGTATAAGAAAACTGGCATAATATGTAAATTGGAGGTGGTACCCACAAAATCCAAACATCGAACAAGAAGAGGATGAAGATATGACCATAATAGTAGTACCCAATCTTCCGAAAAACCAAATTAGTATCAAAATTTTCTGTTGGAAAGGCAAAAGATTTCTTTCTCCCCTCGTACATCCTAACTGGGTCACAATTAGTACTCACCGCTTCATAGGTCAAGGTACCAGATCGAGGTTTATGAATGTAACCAGGCATAATTCCGATTTTGCATTCACCCGGCTTGATAATTCCAGGGCAGTTTGGTCCAATGAGCCGAGTTTTAGATTGCCTGTTAAGAGCAGCCTTCACACGTACCTGAATTTCATAATTATTAGGTTCAAGGACAGTTTCACATGAATCACAGAACACTAAACTCAAGCTTAACAACTGGGCTTGCAGTCAATTAAAATTAATAATCAGAGCTATGACCAAGTTCAATAAAGTTCACATTACAAATCATATGATAGTCCAGGAAGGACAAAACTCAATAACCAAGCATTTGGAAGTCCCAAAACATTTGAGAACTGACATATCAGCTAATAGGATTGTGATACAAATTGAATTATATCGACAAAACAAAATGTCATACCCAAGATTCAAATTGTGATGTATGAACATGTAAACTTAACTTTCGTATTTAAAATGATAAAAATATACTACCATATCATGTTGCGGGATCCCCTCAGTGATGCACACAACAAGATCCAGCTCTGCTTCCATTGCCTCCATAATTGCAGCAGCAGCAAATGGTGGGGGAACATAAATGACTGAGGCATTAGCCTTTGTTTCAGCTTTTGCTTCTGCAACTGAGTTGAAAACAGGGAGTCCCAAATGCTCGGTCCCACCCTTCTTTGGTGTTACACCACCCACCTGTTTCAGCACAATAGTATAAAGAAATGAAAGAAAGGAAGGAAAAATACATAACAGTTTGAAACAAAGAAGGTGATTATAATTTATAACGTTATGTAGCATTTCAGAGGAAAACTTATCATGGGAAATTCAAACCTTCAAACTTAGTCAATTAATTGTGAAAGTCGTGACCATTTTAATCTAGGAGTCCATTTAATTTTAATGCATTAGCATAAGAAACCCATATTCTCAGTTTCACATGTCAACAAGAACTCATTTTCCAATTATTTTCACCAATTCAAACTCCCCTTTTGATAGTAAGAGACATAGATGTTTAAGCAAATGAGAAAATGAATCTAAGCACAAATAATGCAGTACCAGTATCAGTGAAAATCCCAAAACTGTAATACAGCAAAATAATCTCAGCGGCACTAGAATAAAGCCTAATTTTCTTAATTCCGTAATTGATTTCCGAGCTTGGGTTACGAAAAACAAAAATAGAAGAAAGAAGAAGAACACAAAAACTAAATAAAGCAAATAAAAGAGACGAGAAGAAGAGAGAGAGAGAGGCATGTTTGTTAGTGATACCATTTTGGTGCCATATTCGATGGCTTGTTCGGTGTGGAAAGTGCCATTCTTGCCGGTGATGCCCTGGCATATGACACGAGTGTTTTTGTCGACAAACACCGCCGGCGGCGGGGGCGGAGCCGGGGAGTAATGTCGACGCTGAAGAATAGAAGTTGACGGAGACGGAGATGGTTTGCGTGATGCGATCGAACCGATCAGCTTGGCTACGGCTTGGCGACCCATCACCTCTTTTGATGCTGTGCTTCAATTCAAGGATTCGATCAACAAACTGCTTCTCTCTCTAGTCTAGTCTTTTGAAGGAGCTTCAGATTCTGCTCTGCTTTAATATGGGCTTCTTCTTGAGAGAGTTTTGTAGTTGGGCTGCGTTCTCTGATAAAATGATGCCCTAAATTATTTCTTATTGTTCTGACAAAAAAATAATAATTTATTTCTTATTGTTTGATAAAAAGATATATATATTTCTTATTGGTCCCTTTTTTCCCGGTTTAATTAAGGTTGAAATTAGCAAAGGGATTATTCGCAAGCATTTGTCTTGTTTATATATATACTGATTGATTACTAAATCTGACAAAACAGGAAAAGAATTAAAAGATCATAACGTCTTCCACCTCCCGCAACGAAGAAATTATATTTTCTTAACCTAGCTAAAATCACACATGATTAAGTAGTGAAGTGCAATTAGTAACGTCAAAAGTGTTACATCACAAGCTCAAATTTACATAATTTCATCGAAAAATTAATAATAAAAAACTAACGGCTTCAGTTCAGGCCCAAACAAACTAATAAGCAGTCAGACCCAAAAATAATAATAAATTAAAATAAGCACAATCAGATGACATAGTAAATTTTGAAACTTAGATAATCTGTACAGTAGTCCGATAGTTCATGTCGAACAATTCAATTTCAATTAGCCTTAAATGCCTCTAGTAATCGGAGACAACGACACGGACGAAAGGAGATCAATAACTATTTTCCGCTCATTCTATTTCAGCTACAAGTAAAAGTTATCAACATCAACAAAACTAAACAAGAAACAACCCAATTGCAATTTTGGAAATCTGCCAAAAACCTCCTAAATTTAGATCCACATTTCTAATTAGTTGGGACCTCCACAAGAAGAATTATAGATGCGAGGAACCAAGTTAGCAAAGCATTATTCGGTGTGGGACAGCTGCTGGTTCATGCATATTCCACTAACTAGGCCAATGTCATGATGGTGTTTGCACTTCCCCTTCACAGAACCTCCATGAACCATCTGCTTGCCTTCTTAGAACATACCAAATTTTATACGTGCTGCAATCAATCCAAGAAAAAAGAAGTCAAATATCAAATTTAACATTAAAAACATGCAAACCAAAATCTAAAACTCAAATACAGATTCTCCATTAAATACACATCATAAATTCAACTCACCTGTAATAACTTGGGTTCTTTTGTTCAGATTCATTAACAAGTTCAGCTGCTTCCTCCAGCACAGCCTCGATTTCTGCTATCTCTCCTCCAACTTCATCTGATAAAATTTCAGCTCGCAGGACAGACAATTGTAGCAAAACAAATCTCCAATAACAAGACCTCGCTTTTGCAGCATCAGCCAAAGCCTGCCACTGTGAACCATGCATGCGAAAGTAACCAAACAAATACGTAGAGTAAAGCAGTAAACTTAAATGAAGCATCAACGAAAAGAAAACATGTGAAAGTAAATTACTGAGCTTATTATTACAATAAAATGCTTGTGACATATCCAACTTATTCCATGTCATAAGTATTCATAGACTGAACTTTGTTAAGATAATACTATTTAAATAACAATATCAAATATTCAAAAACCTCCACAAATTATACCTGAACAAGCATTGACTGATCAAGGATTTCACAGAGGCTATCAATTTCATGGCTAGGCCCCAGAGCTTCAGCTTTAATTGCTTGCCATTGCTTCACAAGGTCTTCAGCTTCTTCAATAGACATAAGCCTCCGGAACACAGATGTCGAAGAAGACAGATATGAAATTTGTGGATTTTCAGCATCTGAGCAGGTCCTGACCTGCTTCATAAAAGTCGCCAAAAACTTCTTAAGTCTGCCAGCTAGTCCATTTCCCTTGATATAAGCAGGTACTAGACTAGAATCCACAGATGAATCTGTTGTCCAAGAAATAGAACTTGTGTGCATATTTGGCTTACTAGGGCCCCATTTAGAAGCACTTCTCATCTTGTTTCCCTTCATGCCTGTTAACCTTAAGGAAGCAAAAACAATGCACCCCAGTACTGCCACAAAAGTGATCCTTCCCACCAAAACTCCTCTAGCAACCCAACCATTCCAAACTTTGTCATGGTGCATGCCAAGATTCCTTTTCAATTGAACAGATGATGCACTAGCACTGCTACCACTGCCAGTCTTGCCCAATATCAAGGGACTCTGAAGATCAGTTGGAGCCAGCTGCTTAACAGCTGTTCCAAGATGGTGAGAAGAGTTCAAATGGGAAAGAGACTCATCGAAATCTCTCCGTTCTGACACGAGAGTAGTGGAAATTGGTCTGTGACTTAAAATAGGCAAATTCTGTGGAGCTACTTTGCTTTTCTTGCTCAAAGGAGTCCTCCTTTCACCACCAAAAAAGTTGGCCTGCAAAGAGATACATACATACATAAACCCTCTGCTAAAGTTAAAGCTATTATCCTTTAACAGTCCTTCTCATGAATCTCACCAACGATGGAGGGCAATCTCGTGAGTCTGGAAACACAGCGAGGACAGCCTCCTTCAGCCACATTTCCTGATCAAGTTCATCAGGCAGTCCGACATGAGAAAGTATTGGCCTTTAAAACAAACATAAAGTTTGTAGTGAAATACGTAGCGTGTGAAGTGGCACAAATAGAACACATTGAATTTTTCAGGACCTTCCCATTACCCGATGTTTCAAAGTAAAGATAAGCATGCTCCTAATGACAGCTAAGATGAGAATTCCAGCACACAATAAGAGATATACCAAAGTTTGATTTGCTCCACAAGTATGCTTAACTTCCTTCCCTGAGATTGGATTTCGTGCAGCAGAATTTGAATTTAATTCAAGCTTCTGAAGCTTTTCAACAACCATAGCCTCATTACCCTGGAAACCGAAATATCACCAAGTATTCCATTGAGGAAACATAAGAGAAGGATTCAATAAGAAAAAAGGAAAAACAAATTCATAGTTTCTGCAAGATATCCAAAACTGTTCTAATGAAACAGCACAATAAATAAAATTAGGAGGAAACTGAAAATTTTACCTGACCAAGAAGGAACAAGCAAAAATTTTCCTCAAGTTTCAGATCAGTACCCTCTGATGCAATCAGACACTCGCATATAATCTTTGCTTTGTCAATCTGCACAACCATATTATAAGGGCTGAAATTAACAAAATGGAACATGCAGCAACACCCTCTGCCCCAAGTAAGAGAGAGAGAGAGAGAGTTACTATGTCAGCAGACTTCATATTCAAAAATAATAATTTGGACCTAGGAGCAGAATGAATTTACCAATTCCTTTTGCTTGCTTGAAAACCCCAGGGCAATATGAGCTATCAACACCATGTACAAACAATTAAAATCAATAACAACCCTTTGATTCTGTGATTCAAGTGATTTCTTATTCTTCCTTGTAATAGCTAAATCATCCCATGGAAGAAGATCAACTATCTCCGAAGCCATTAGTCTATTAAATGCTTGGCTCAAGAAGCATGGCCAGTCTTGCACTCGACACGACGTTTCCACACCAAGCCCCTGTCTGACCAATTCACGCAAGGCTGCAATTGCTCCTCTTCTTCTTTCAGCATTCTCAGGTGAGTGAGGCATGCCTAACAATTCCAATGTGCAAGCAGGTGCAAGCTCCTCCAAAGATTCTTCTATCTATAAAACATGACCAACATATGTTTACTTTAGGGCAAGTACAGGCATGGAATAAAGTTAAATGCTGTCTAACAGAAATTTGTCACATTTTAGAATTTTCAACCACCAGGTCAATCTGACTAAGAACAACTTAACTTCTCAACATTTGGTCCACCATACTTTGATTTGTTATGTAGATATATGTTCTCTACTTTGCAAAACAAACGCTAAGATACAGTCAGATGATTTGAATTCTAATAGTTCCATTTCAGAGTGACAGACCAGATGCCAATTAGTGGATTGAACCAGTAAATGCCATAAAAAAATATCAGATAAAAAAAATTTGACACAAAAGCACATAGAAGATGAGAGATTACCTGAGATAACAATGCTATTTTCCCAAGAGACTTTTTACTCCTTAGAAGACTCTGTGCACGAGCAAGAGCTTCAAATCCTTGGGACACCTTGTTCTTCTCAAAACCAATCTTTGCAGTTGCACACTTCAAGAAAGCACCTAGGATAAGAAAAGGAGGCATAACAATGCTGAAACAAAACGGACAGTACAATATCCTGACCTCTTTGCTGATATGCCTTACCTCTGCTAGTGCCATAGAAAGAAGAAGATCATGAACATACGGCTTAGCATCTGGATGCTGAACAGCTACGCGACCAATATCTTGCACAAGCTTAACTTCTCCAACCTAGAATGAAGAAATCCAATATCATTATACCCACCTTCGAAAACAAAATCCTTTCTTCTTCTTTTTTCTAATTAAACAAGAAAAAAATATTCTATGATATTACGAAGAAGACAATGTTACACACTTAATAAATGCAATTAGGCAACGTGTATCTACAAGAGGAATCCACAATGAAAAGTAGGGGTGAAAAAATGAGTTTCGCGACAAACTGTAGCAATCAAATTCTGAAAAGAATTCAATCCCTCTTAAATTAGTGTTTAACAATATTTATTTTTCTTTAAAGGAGAAAAAAAGAGCCTGAAAGGCTGAAGGCTAAACACTAAGCCACAAAATCTATGTTCGACTAAGTAGATTGTACAAAGACAAATCTGTACCTCTTGAAGGAGGCAAAGAGCACCTGGCAACCAAGCCCAAGGGATTCGTAGGGAAGATTTAGGTGGGATCTTTTCCTTAATATTACCAGCATATTCTGGTTCAAAAAGAAGCTTATCTCTCACATCCATTAAAAGACCCTGCAAAGCAGCCCACAAGAGAAATAATTTAAAGATGAAATTAAACAACCTAGCAGAAAGCTCTTTCCACCTGGTATATCTACCACATATAATAAAAAAAATTTAAAGTCTCAACCTGGCGAGATGCAACAGCATCCATGGTGTAACCCTCTTCAATTTCAGCACTCTTCAAATCCATCACTGATTTAACAACCTCATCTTTTTCAGCTTGATCAGGAACGCCAATAAGCTGTAAATTCGTTACGTTAGCATTAAGTTACTAAATGCAGAGTCAGACTAATAATAAAGTTCAGAAAATACGGATATGTTAGCGCAAGATTCACATAAACATCAC